AAATAAGTGATAAAAATGAAACAAATGAATAAACCCCTTTTGGCAAATGGGATAGTGGTGTTGACACAGTGTCTCCCTGTAGCCCCAGCTGGCCCAGAACCCACTATGTAGACCAGGCTGGCTTCAATCTCATGGAGCTTTGCCTGCCTCTGCCTCCCAAGTGCTAGAATAAAAGGCATGTGCCAACGGATAAATCTCTTTTGAACCTCACCCTTGATGAACTGCTCCAAGAAGCAACTTGTGCATGAAACTACCAAGTGCTTATAAACCAGCCTGCCACTGTCATGTGATCTCTTTCTTCACAGCTCATGTGAAGTAGCCGTTAGCACAGTAATATATAGTCTTTTAATTTCCTCTTGTCTCCCACACACTGTCCTAGGCTTCCACATTCCAAAAGTCATTATTTAATATTTGCCCCAGACTCTGCTTTCCAGAGGCAATCAGAGGAATCAAAGTCCCCATCTCAACATTAATCATCTCAGCTGATTTTTCCTACTCAAACGCAATTCATCTAACCTGGATTGCTGGCTTTCTCTCGGGCCTGTGTCAAGGTGATTATGCCTGGCTGTTTGTGAACTACTTACCTGGAAGCTGAGGCTTATTCTGCAAGCTTTCTTCATGATTCCCTGCATTTTCTGCTAAGCACCAAAGACATTCTTGGGAAAAGCCAAACCTAGCTTGCAGCCTAGCAGGATTAGCAAAGTAAGGTCTGGAAAGAGGTAACCAAATCTGTGCCAAATATAAACTCAAAGAGGGCAAAGGAGCAAGCTGAATGTGCAGATCCACCAGGCTACAGGCTGGGAGCCAGCTACGTGACCTGCACTGGCCCTGAGTCTCCTAAGCCCAACAGGTTTCTTCTTGGCCATCCCAACGAACATCAAGCTGTGTAACATACAAATATACTGGTCATGAGGAGAGGCCCAGAGGCCACGAGCAACCAGCCTCTCTGGTCCCTACTGGGTTTGGCTTTATCATGACAGATGCCACAGCATCACAGAAAATTGATGGCCAAAGATTATGACTGAAACTAAAAGGGAATAAGGAGATTATGGGATCTCTATGGCTCTAATGCCATCTTTTGCAGGGTACCCCATGTATACTCTGGGGCAGGGGTGAGCCTGTGGACCTGATCTAAGCACACAGCAGCAAAGTCAGTTGTCTCTGAGGTCAGAGATCATCATCCCCATCTTGGACCAAACGTCTGCTCCCCCTGCATGCAGGACACCTGGGTCACATCTAGGGAAAGAAATCCACCACAGAATTGCTGTTGAAGACTAAGGACTCTGCCCACAGTCTTTAAGCTCTGGAAGTTGCCAGAAGATCCCAAATTCAGCATCAGCTGATAGACTCCTCTCAAGAATTCTTTGGTGATATGCCCTCCATGTAAAAATCAGCCATGGCTGGAGGGGGAGGAGTTCAGCAAGCTGCAGTTTGATGGCCAGAATGAATGCTGAGCTGGTTGCCTCAGTCCTGCACTAAGCATCTTCAGGCTGAAGCCTAGAAGTTAGCACCACTCAGGGGTTTTGACTATCTGGTGAAGGTCAAGGTCACTGGAGTAAAAGCCAAGAGTGGAATAGAAGTTTTCTCCTGGGAGCACTACCATAGATGGGCTATTACCAATACCATGAAGCTGAAAGGTAGAGGAATGTTCAAATTGTGATCTGTTGCTATGATTATTAGCTTTAACTGTCAACTTGATACAACCTAAAATAATCTGGGAGGAAGTCTCAATAAGGGATTGTCTTTATTTTGGCCTGTGGCCATGTCTGTAGGGGATTGTTTATTATTTTTTTAATTTTATTTATTATTTTTATTTTATGCGTATGAGTGTATTGCCTGCATGTAGGTAAGTGCACCTGTGTTGCGCAATGCCTGCAGAAGACAGAAGAGGCCATTGGATCATCTGGAACTGGAGTTACGGACAGTTGTAAGCTGCCAAGTGGGTGCTGGGATTTGAACCCAGGTCTTCTGCAAGAACAACCAGTGTTCTTAACCACTGAGTCATCACTCCAGCCCTATTTTTTATTTTATGTGTATGAATATTATGCCTGCATATATGTAAGTGCATCTGTGTCATGCAGTGCCTGTGGAGGACAGAAGAGGACATCAGATCCCCTGGAACTGAAGTTATGGATGGTTGTTAGCTGCCATGTGGGTGCTGGGATTTGAACCCAGGTCTTCTGCAAGAGTAGCCAATGCTCTTAATTTCTAAGCCATCTCTCCAGCCCTTTAGGGAATTGCATTAATTAATTGATATGGGAAGACTCATCTCACGGTGGGTGGCACCATTCCCTAGGCAGAGCGTCCTGAATTGTGTAAGAGTAGGGAAATGGAGCTGGGCACAAGCAAGTGAGCATTTGTGGATTCGTTTCCCTCTGCTCTTGACTATGGATGTGATGTGACTACTACTTGAAGTTCCTGTTGATTTCCCCACAATGATGGACTGAAACCTGACTTGTGACCTGAAGAAATACTCTCCTCACTCCCCAAGTTGCTTCTTGCCAGGGTATTTTATCACACCAACAGAAATGAAACTAGAGCAGTTGCCAAAAAGCATAATTTCTGAGTGCTAGATCAAGACTCAAGGATGAGGACTGAGCACAGTTCTCCATGGTGGTTACTAGACTCCAGAGAGTTCAAAGATCAGATGATCCTCACACCTGAGAAACAGGGACCTGGGACTGCTGACTTTCTAAAGCAGTCTTTAGATCCAGTCCCATGCAAAATGGGATATGGGATGTTCCAATTCCAGAAAAGCCATCTTCTCAGGGATGTCCATAAAGGGCAATAGATAAAGTAGATATTTTCCGATGAAAAGGATCTAGAGCAGTCAATCATTCCACTATCCAGCTCTGTGCTGTAGATTAGTGTTCATTGTTTTCCCTTCTCTCTAATTCCAAATAGAAGAGCTTTTAAAAGTTGTAATCCAGTATTCCTCCACTATTTTATATTGGTGATATGGGGTGGAAAAATTGACCTTCTAGCCATATATTGCAAAATCTTAAGAACACATCCAGACCTGATCAAGAATTGCACATCACTAGGGACTGGACTGAATAAGGCAACTGGGTCTGACATTACTTCATCTTTCATTGGAAAGTGGATGTGCATGTTTTGGTTGGATCTGAGATCAGTGCATTGCAAGGCAGGGATGTTCTTTGAATTGTATGCTTGTCAATGAAAGTATATGTGGATACAATAAAGGGCAAAAATGCACTGGGTAGATATTGCTTATCTGCCCACTATCTTCTTCTTTGAGGGCCTATTTCTCCTGTTCCTCACATACTTAGGGAGGTGGCCCAATCTTCATTCTACATGTGTGCATATGTCCAAAGCTGGGCAAAGTCTTCCCTAGGATTTTAGAGCTAGATGTAGTAAGGTCAACATATAAAAGGAAGCAGAATTAAGAGATGGAGACATCATTATTTGAACCTCCAGACCTGGTTCTGTCTAGAGGCAGGTATATCTGTTATGCAAGCCAATTAATTTCCTAATGGCTTATAGATGTTTGTGTTTGGTTCCAGACTAATACGTGTGCATACACACACACACACACACACACACACACACACACACAAAGACACCACACCATATTGTCAAACTCAAACATTCTGTAGGTATTCTGTCATCTTACCAGGTGGTCAGCAAACTATGTCTAAAGGACCAGATAAATGTTTTAAAATTTATGAACCACATATGACCTCTATTTTATCATTTTGTTTTGACAAGCCTTTAAAATGTATAAAAACTCGGGCTGGAAAGATTGCTCAGAGGTTAAGAGCATGTATTACTTCTTGCAGAGGATTCAAATCCAGCTCTCAGCACCCATGTCCAGCTCCAGGGGATCAAATACTCTCTTCTGACCTCCATGGGCACCTGTATTCATGTGCACATATCCACAGACAGACAGACAGACACACACACAGACACACACACACACACACGAGGGGGGAATTTAAAAATAAATCTATGAAAATTCATCTGTAGCTATACAAAAATAGGTCACAGGCAAGGTTTGGCCCACAGACCATAGTCTGTCAACCCTTGCTCTAGATAATATCAACTCCTGCAACTTGGGAGTCTATAGAGTCTGTCAATTCCTCATCCATATCCTAAAATATGAAGCAAAGTAAGTTCCACCTTGTTTCACATGTTCTGATATGATTCAGTACTGAATTAAGTTAATTCATGATAGAATTAGGAATGCTAAAAGGTTTTTATCTGCAACATGACAGGCCCCTGAAATAAATGATAATCATTATTTCTTGGTAATAGATAACTTTCCAATATGATGCACCTACTCAAAGACTTTGTCCAAATGTCTCACTTCATCATTAATGACTCTTCTCTTTAACCTCCTTCAGGAAGCCTTTCTTGGATCTCCAACAATAAAGTCTGAATTAGTACTTTTCTTGTTAATACGGACCCTCTATGTCCCTCCATTGTACCTGCATTAATGGTCTTGGTGGTCGTCCAAGCTCCATCACATGCTTTGCATCTGGCATTGAGAGAACAGTATGCTTCTAGATTAATATCTTGGGGTTGTTTTAGTATTGTGTGTGTGTGTGTGTGTGTGTCCATTGGGGTTGTTTTAGTATTGTGTGTGTGTGTGTGTGTGTGTGTGTGTGTGTCCATTGCCTCTAGAGGCACAATTTCATCTGTCATTCCTCAGGTGCTTCCCACCTTTGGTTTTTTGAGACAAGGTCTCTCATTGGCGTGGAACTCACTAAGTGGGCTAGGATGGCTGGGTTTTACAAGGTCAATACTTTACTGACTGATTTATCTCCCAAGCCCATATTTGTTTGAATATGCAGATGCTCCTGAACCCAAGGTGCTCCATCTATGGACCAGCACCATGCTGGTATACATATGCCTCAGCACTGGTTCCTTTCCCAGCCAGAAACGATTTGTGGGTATATACCACACCTTACCTTGTAATGTTATTTAAAAATCTATTTTTCATCCCCATTCCCTCCAAAAACCAGTCAGAGACAGAGGAACAAGTGGGAACAAGTTTTCTTAGAAACTGTTGTGAAGGAAGAACCCTCCACCCCCGCATCTTTTACTATCTGAGTGATACTATGTAAGAGGCCTCCAGTGTCAGTAGTATCTGGGGACCAGAGTGCTCCCCAACCAACATTATTGGGCCTCAAGATTAGGTTGACTCATGACTTAGGGGTTGAGGATAAATTATCCCCCTTGGAAAAACATGTGCAAGGGCCTTGCAGGCCCAGGAAAGACTGACCAAGGCAAGGTGAGTTATGGTGTTCTTAGCTGAATCTTTTGCCCATCTCACAGAAGCAGGCAGGAAGCACCACCATTGATCAGCTTTATATGGCACCCACTGTATACAAGGACAGACAAGGACAGACAGACAGAGCACACACCACTTCTAAGCTGAACACTGCTCACCATCTAGAAGCACCTTGGATAAGCACATATGAGACACTCTTGCATAGGAAAGATGTACTTTTTAAAGGAATGAAGAAGTATTTTGGCAAAACATCTACTTCTCTCCCAGGTCCTGGGTAAAGAGGGACCTCTAATTCTGAAGCTTCTACATAGTGAAAATTATTCCCTTCTCAATGGCAAGTATATACAGCAGCAAACCTTCCAAGTCTGTTGTCACAGCCCTCTACATATATCTTGAATATACTTTACAGATGGGCAAACTTAGACTAAGAGACAGAAGGTAGCCTGGAGCAAGGGGACACTGGGGCAGGTACAAGGGGAGGGGAAACAGGAGGTGTCTTGGCTCAGCCATAGGCAAGGCCTCTGTCTATCTGGACTGGGAAGGAAAAGGCTCCCTCTTTCTTCCTGCCTTGGGGAGGGCAATGGCTCCACAGGAAAGGCTGTCAAGAAGGAAAGGCAGGTTTCCACTCCTGCAGGCCAAGGGCCTCTGTGGATAGTAATGGTCAGAGCAGGCCTGAGTTCCTCCTGAGATCTCTTCAGGAATGTTCTCTGGGTTTGGGAATTGTGGGTTCACTTCCATAACCCTCTTGTTGCCTGAATATGAGCCTAGACCTCACAGCCTTTTCATTTAAAAAAGGGCAGGGTGGAGGAGTGGCTTAAGAAGGAATGAGACACAGGACAATCTTTCCACAGCCTCCTCTGCCTAGGCTGGGGCTATTAAGGGTCTCCCTTCACCCTGTCTCCTAGGGATATTTAAAGGCAGCTTTTATGAGACTCTCTACTGATTTTTTTGTCTCTCTTGTGGTTTTTTTCTTTGTTTTAATTTATATAGATATATATATTCTTAAAAAAACAATAGTCCTTTGGTCCCTAAATGCTAAGGAATGATATGATTTTGAACAAAGTAAGTCTGGGCTTCCCTCGCTGAGAAGCCCTTGGCACCCCCGAGACCCTCTGCTGGTTCCTTTAGACAGTTGATGGTCAGCCAGCCTGAGTGCTCCGTGGAACAACCCACTTAATGAGTGGCCTGAGCCCCAGGCGCCAGCCTCGGGTCCGATCCACCTTCATCTGCAGCTGCTCCTTTGGGAAGGGCCACTCCAGCATTTCTGTGCTTTTCTTTTTCCTTTCTTCTCATTCTTCAGTTTCTGCTGTAGATATTAGTTGGTAAAGAGACAGGAGAGGGAGGAAGCAAAGTTACCCAAGAGGGTAAGACAAGAGCTTCTTGCTCCCCCTGTGACATTTCATTAAGAGTCTGAACCTCTTTTTATTGGCAGCATTCTGGCCACTGAAACCAGCCTCTGATTGGGTCTTGGCCAGATCATCCCAGTCAATGCTCTGTAGAGATTGCTTTGCTCAAGTGAGGTGAGGCCAGGTGGACCTCCAGGGACAGAACATCTCTCCAAGTTGTAGGCAGACTCCTGTGAACCCATGGCCCTTCCAGAAACCTAGAACTTATCAGTTCTCTGCCCATTGACCACTAGGCCTGGCAGACCCTACTTCTTAAGGATCTCTGCTTTTCTCCCTTCATCTCTACATTATCTACCCTTATATCTTCGTTGTTGTTGTTTGTTTCGTTTTGTTTTGCTTGAGACAGGGTCCCCCTGTAGACCTAGCTAGCCTGGAACATGCTATGTAGACCAGGCTGGTCTCAATCTCACAGAGATCTGCCTGCTTCTGCTCCCCAAATGCTAGGATTAAAGGCATGTACCATACCACCACACCTGGAATCTGACCTTTTATTTTTTCTTTATCTTCTTTATTCAAATTCATCAATACTTCTACCTCCTTCAGTGGCAGGTCAGAACTCATGGCTCAGGAGATCTTTATGAGCTGCACCAAATCCCACTTCCCTGACCCACTCCTTATATGAGTGCTGTACCCATGTGGCCTCCTGCAGCTTTTTCTGGAATAGAACTGCTTGAATTTTGATAGAAATTGTCTCTCCATGTAGTAAGGCTGTCTAATTCATCTCAGGCCCTTGATTGAACAAAAAAAAGCTCAGTCTCTATCCCCCTTGATCCTGGCTCGTCTCTTTATCCCAGACTTTCTTGGAGAGGTAGGTGTCCCCAAGTGTCTTCAAGAAAACATCAAAGCTGTGAGTTTTGTCATCCATTTGCCTAGCACCCATCAAGGACTCACCTTTCTGTGGCTGGTCAGTGAGAGCAGATCAGTAAGGCCGGTTGGCATCCTTAGGTCTCTTTAGCTGGACCTTGAGCCTCTTCATGCCAATTTGAAAGCCATTCATGGCCTGGATAGCAGTCTGGGCACTGGTTGGATTGTCAAAACTAACAAACCCTGGAGGATGTGGGCAGATAGGTTAGCCTGGAATCCTGCTTAGCAGAGCCTCCTTTCTCTTTGACTAGCCCCCCGTCCCAATCTCCAAGCCCCTTAAGCCAATTCTATCAAATCATACCTTTTTGTTGCTTAAATGTGTGAGCATGTGTGCTCACACACATACAATAGATACACACTTATAAAGGCAAATAATTCCTAAAGGTGTGATTCTCAGAAAGATGGGAAGCAACTCTGCCAGGGGGAAGGGGCAGTGTGTTGGTCTGAGTATTTCCCTGGCTTGGGTTGGCTCCTCCCATTCTGGCCTCAGAACTGCAGTTGAGGTTGGAGGGCATCTCTGATCCCAAACCTAGACTCCTCCTGCTCTGGCCAAACTCCAAAGCTGCAACCTTCCTGATCCTAGTACATGAGTTCAGCTGAACTGAAATAAGGCTTGTTCTGGTTCCAGGCCTAGCCCTATTACAGGTCTGTGTCCATACTTTGTTTCATAACATTCAGTCCTGGAAATCACTGTCTTATGTATAGTCTGTATGGAATCCTGAGGCTCAGGGATGGGGATCAGCTCACCAAAACACTTGCTCTGGTTGGTGGCTCGATCCACAAAAACTTTGGCAGAGACAACAGCTCCGAAGGGCAGGAATGTCTGTATGAGTTCTGCATCACCAAACTCCTGAGGCAGGTGATAGATGAAGAGGTTACAGCCTTCGGGGCCTGCAGGAACAACAGCAGGCTTGTTTAGGGAAAGGACACTGAGTGAAACCCCACCCCCAACCCAGATATCCAGGCCCAAGTCCCTCACCTTCTCTTTGTTGCTGGGGCAAGGCTGAAGGCTGCTGGGGAAAAGCTGTGCTCACTGGGCCATAGGCCGACTGATAGGCTGCTGGAGACAAAGGTGGGAGTGGGCAGTGATCCCGAGGAATCATTCCCCAAGCAGGGCCCCATCAGCCTGGCCAGCTCTGACCAATCCAACCCAGCTCACCATAACCCTCTTCCCAAGAGAGGTCACTGGGGGCTGGGGCTGGGGAGGATAGAATTAACTCCTGGAAACAGAGCCTAACCCTCCCACAAATCTCCCTATTCTGTCCTGAGTTCCTTAACACCTCCCCCACACCCACACCCCCAGACCAGCGCCAAGTGAAACCTGTGTAATGGTGCATCCCGGCGTAGGCCTGCTGCAGGGAGTCAGCCATGCCAGGGTTCTGGGCTGGAGAGAGAGGGGGACCAAAGCCCAAGGTGAAGGCTGGTGCGCAAGAGGTAGGGGAGAGACCCGGGCAGTGTGGTAGGTGGAGGGCAGCTATGATTGAAGGCAAGGGAAGATGGGGGAATCCCTTCCCCCAAGCAGAACCTTGCCTCCCAAGCCTTGCTGCCCACTTCACTTCTGGCAAGTTTGAGTCAGCCGGGTGGGGTGGCCCACCTGGGTAGGGAGAAAGCCCGTTGTTGTAGAGCGAGTCGGAGCCTGGCTGCCCGTTGGTCTGGGCAGTCAAAGAACCGAATCCATTGACCCCCATGGGCGCTGGAAGGCCGGGCAGTGCTCCAGGGCCACCACCACCGGGTGAGGAGTTGGCTGTCAAAGAGATAGGAGGTCAGGCCAAGGCCCTTCACAGGCTAAACTGTGGCTCCAATCCCGCTGGTTCCTTACCTGCGGCAGGCAACAGTGGTGCAGCCACTAGGCTGAAGGCGGCCACGTGCTGCATCTGTGCGGCCACCGCGGCCACCTGGCCAAGCCCAGGACCCTGCGCCGCCGCTAGCAGCGCTGCCTGGTGCTGCAGGATCTTTGGGAAGGAAGAAGGGCGGCTGTACAGGCCTCAGCAACTGGTAGCTGCCCTGGTCCCTACCACCTGCCAACCCTGGCCAGGCACCTACCGCCGTGGTGTAGGCGCCACAGGCCCCGAGTGGCAGCGGTGCAGGGTGGAAGGTCCCCAGTTGGCCAGCCATCTGCTGCATCCGCCGCAGCGCACGCTCCCGGTCTGTGTCCGCCAGCTTCACCACCAGACTGGAAGAGGCGCCCTGGGCAGGAAGAGGGCATGGTGACTGGTCCTGACTTAGGCCGATCTCTAGGCCACTGCCTTCCCTAACAAGCCCTTGCCCCAGGGCGCTGAGGGCCTATGGGGGAAGAGGGAGCAGTCCCGGCTCTCTGGCTTCACCCTCAGCCCTGACGCCAGCCCTCACCGTCATAGTCCTGCTGCCGTGCAGGCCCTGGATGGCGGCTTGAGCTTCGCCTTGACTCCCGAACTTCACAAAGGCACAGCCTGGTGCAGGAGAGAGGGTGGGGTGGCTCAGGCCACGGGAGTCAAAGTGTAAGAAAAGGTCACCAGGAAATCCCAGGGGCAGTTCAGGTCACCTTTACTGGTACCATCAGGACTCCGTAGGACAGTGCACTCCTCGATATGGCCGAAGGGCTGGAACAGGCGTCTGACGTCCTCCTCACCCTGCTGCTTGCCCAACATCCCCACAAACAGCTTCCGGTCCTCTGGGGACAAAGCCAGGAAATAACCTGGGGACCCCAAGTGTTCCTAGGCTCCCCAGAATTGCCTGAGGAGCTTGGGAAGGTGGCTCACCAGTCTAGCTCTGGGAAGAGGTGTAGGGAGTGAGAAGGCCCTGGGGCTCCAAAGTTGGGTCTCTTTGAGGGGCAGGAAGACCTACAGGCAGATTTAGAGGAAAGAAACTCAGCTCAGATGTCCATCAGGCAAACCTGGGTCCTGGAGATACCCAAGAGACTCATTGCTGCTCTTGTGGGGAGTGGTACAATCTTGATACTTTTGGGGGCAGAGCCCTACACATATTTTAACCTTTCTGTTATTAGTTTGGAAAATGCTACTGGAGACCCTTTCAGAGTTCTGGAGGGAGGGGTGCTTGACTGGAACCTTGTTTGTCACCCTGATGGCACTGGCCAGAACCAATGCCCTTTCCTGCTCAAATCAAGGAGAGCTCTGTTAAAAGACACATGGAAGCCAGGCAAGGTGGCGCATGCCTTTAATTCCAGCCCTGGGGAGGCAGAGGCAGGTGGATCTCTGTGAGTTCCAGGCCAGACTGGTCTCCATTAGTGAATCCAGGCCAGGTGCGGCTACAAGAGACCTTGTCTCAAAAATGCCGAAAAAACGAAAAATTCAGATAAAAAAAAAAATTGTAAGTTCCTCCATTTCCCCCCTCCCTACCCAAGATATAAAATGAAAAATTCAGATTAAAAAAAAATACACATGGAAAACAGCTGTCCTAGCCTACTGCCTTATCCTTAGATACTGAGCACTGAAATAGTGAATCCATACCCTCGGCACCAAATCTAACCCAGTGTTCCTCCTGAAGGCCTACAGAGAAAATTGGGGTTCTGAGCCTCCAACATAAGCATTTTCCCCATTGCACCTGTTGAGCCCCTGACCTCTTTCACTAATCCCCAGATCCACCACCCATCTCCTTGCTGAACTTCCAGGGCCTTTTCTGGCCCAATGACCTCCTTTTTGATCTCCCAAGTTCTCCTACCCAGCCCTCTCCCCAGTTGTTCATGCTCTGGAAGAATAAACTCTTATCTGTATAACTGGATGATCACCTGAAAACAAGTAGGCTCCCTCCAAGTGTCCACACTTCCTATGGGAGTGACAGAGATAGAGGACAGGACAGTAAGCTGAGCCTGTGTCCCATGAGGAAAGTTGGAGGGAATGGATTGGAACCAGGGATTAGCTGTATATTGGACCTTTGCTACACTATCTAGGAACTTGTGATCGATGGGTATGGTCCACTGGGTGTACTGCTAAAGTCTGAATCCTTTCTGTATCAAGGTAAGCCTCTGAATATGGGATGGGGCTTGCCAATGTGTAGGGCAAGACACACTGAGAGAGAAGTGTTGGGTGGGAATCTGACTTCAGGCTTCATCTTCAAGATCCTAGAGCTCAGAAAAATCAAACTCCAAAACTGCTTTACTACTTGACAAGCCTATAGTAAGAGCATAATCTTACTCTTGGTGGGTATTTTATGCTCCCACAGGTTGTTAGCCAGAGAAGAGAACCCTGGTAATAGATTATTGGTTTCCCAACCTTTTAAAAAATAGTGCAATATATTGTTTCTACAAAAACAGAATAGGATGAGGGCTGGCCAGATGGTTTGGTGGGTAAAAGCAGTTGCTGCTAAGCCTAATGAGTGTACACGTACACACACACACACACACACACACACAAATAAATAATAAGTAAATAAATAAATAAATAAATGTAACAAAAATAGTAGGATGAAATTCAGGATGTAAGAGAAAAACAGAAAATTTCCTACTGACGCCAGAAAAGGGCTTGGAATTTCTCCTGTTTGATTCTCCTCTAGTACCCCCTGGAGTGGACTCCAAGGAAAACCCTTTGAAACCACTGACTTAACAGACAAAGAGCAGAGTTCCAGATCACCTGAGATGACAGGTGAGAAATGTCTGGAAATGAGCATTCCATAGGTGGTAAGTAGGCCACTGAGAGATGGAACTACCAAATATGGGGCTCAACCTTCCAGGAGTGGAAAGGGTTGAAGCATCTGCATGGAGTTGACCTTACATAAATCTTGTGACATTCATGACTTTGCCTTAACACTGAAGAACAGGCCTCAGTTGGACAGGGAATCAAACTTCAGAAATCTGTGCCACTATTCTGAGCCTTGATATTGAAATATGCCCATGTCTACAAAAGGCCTAGAAGTGGCTATAGATGATCCCAGTGTCTCCACAGTCCCTAGGAAATTTCACAGTGCTCTTCTAAAACAACTGTATCACTGATAGGGTGTGTAAGAAGTCATGCTCTGTGGACCAGCATCCATGTAACCCCTATGTCAGAAGAGAGATCACAAGCTGAGATGAAGAACTTAATGTAGGAAGAAGGTTTGTGTGGACAGTGGTTACCTGATCCTTCATCTGTACTTCCTCTCCTTACTCTTTTCTGCCAGTGGTGGAGCATGGGATGAAGGTAGCTCATCAGTCTAACCCATCACAGTTCATTAAATTCTCTGAACCTCCTTTTCCAGTAAGAGCCTCCTGAATTGGTAATTTTCATTCACACTAGGGCATTGAGCCCATGGTCAGGACTACAGGGATATATAAATTTGACCCTGAAATGGGCACTCACTATGGGCTCAAGCTTTCTCCATATTACCTGTTTCCTAGTTATCACTTGAATCCTGGGACCTTCTTTGCTACTTTACATGGACTGTAATCATGTTTCACAGGAGGAAGAGCTAGGTCACAGTAACCTCAGACAACTTTCTTAAGAAATCTGATTTTTTTTTTTTTTTAAAAAGCGGCCCCTTCAGCACAGTCTCCAAACCCACACCCCTGAATATTTTAGGGAATGATTGAATCCCCCTCAGATGCAGATGGTGGTAGCATCATAACTCATATACATCTGTTGCCTCTTAGTCAAATGCAACCAGTTTGTTAAGAGGATGCTACAAGAGGCGAGGCATAAATGTCTGAGTAAGGGCTAGGGATGTAGCTCAATGGTAGAGCACTTGTATAGCATGATAAGGCCCTGGAGTTCTGACCCCAGTACTGCAACAAATCTGAATAAGAGTATCTCATAGGTGGTAGATAGGTCTCTAGAGATAGAATATCAACTGTGAAGTTCTATCTTCCAGGGGTGGAAAAAACCGGAAGGCAGTACCAGTGGGGAGTTGAGACACAGGTGGAAAGCCACACAGTTTGATGGTATAACTGAATGGTATTTCCTGTTGGCACCCAATGGATACTCCTAGTTTTTCTATCCCAAGCAAGTGGTGTAGGCTCTGATATGCCCATCTCCATGAGGCTGCTTAGTGCAGCTGGTCATATAAATTAGGAATTCTAGCACAGCAAATAATAGGTTTGAGAGCCAAGAGGTGAAAATAGAGTCAGTCTTTTTCAAAGAAAGAAGACCAAGATATTGTTCATGAAAGTAGGCCTTGCCTGAAGTACATAGATTTCTGGTATCTGGGCCCCTCATACCCACTCACCTCCATCTTGGTGGAATGCCATGATTGTAGGAAAAGGTTGCAACTTGTGCTGGTTAGTTGTCAACTTGACACAAACCTAGACATACCTGGGAAGAGGGAATTTCCTCCATCAGATTGACCTGTAGGGCATTTTTGTGATTGCTAATTGATGTGGGGGAGCCCAGCTGTGCCACTGTGGACAGTGCCATCCCTGGGCAGGTAGGCCTGGGCTGTATAAGAAAGCCAAGCAAGAGAGGGGAAGCAAGTCAGCAAGCAGCATTCCTCCTTGATCTCTGCTTCAGTTCCTGCCTCCAGATTTGACTTGAGTTCCTGTCCTGGATTCCCTTGATGATGGACGGAAACCTGTAAGCCAAATAAACCCGTTCCTCCCCAACTTTCTGATGGTCATGGTGTTTCTCACAGCAACTGAAAAACAAACTAAGACACAACCTGTGGGCACCAACCACCAAACCAGTCCTGAAACTATTTAGTCTACCTTTCAGTCCGAACACTATCCAGAAAATCCTGCTGGGGGCAGTGGCTGGAGCAAAGCCTCTCTCCCCTGGTGTTATGTTGGCAGCATAAGACAAGGAAGACTGAGAAAATAAGTAAAGGAAATATCTAGGATAACCACAGTCTCCTGGCCAGATAGGCCTCAAGAAGAACTTTAAGGGGCTGGGGATGTAGCTTGGTTGGCAGAGTGCTTGCTTAGCAAGCACAGTGCTCTGGGTTTGAGTTCAGCACCAAGTATGTCAGGTATTTTGGCACACACCTGTAACTTTAGCAATTCAGGAGATGGAAGCAGGAGGGTTAGGAGTTCAAGGTCATGCTCAGCTATGTAAAGGCTTTGAGGCCAGCCTAGGCTACATGAAATTCTGTCACAAAAAAGATCTTTAATTGAAAAAAAAAAAAGGCCTGTTGGAGGTTGGCTCAGTGATTAAGAACACTGGCTGCTCTTGCAGGGGACCCAGGTTTGATTCCCAGCATCCACATGATGGCTAACAACCATTCCTAACTCCAATTCCAGGAGACTCCAAAGCTCTCTTCTCATCTCTGAAGGCATTGCATGACACACATGCAGGCAATTCACTCATATACATAAGATAAAATAAAAATAATAAATAAAATACTTTAAAAAATAAAAATTTTTTAAAATCTTGTTATAATAAATGAATTCAGCAAAGGTGCAAAATACCAACAAACACTCAAAAAATCCAGTCATACTTATATACAGTAACAACGAACAAGCTGAAATAAAAATGAAGCAAACAATTCCGTTTATAATACCATTAAGAACAATAAAACACTTAGAAATAAACAGCCATGGAAACAAAAAACATATACATTGAAAACTACAAATTGGGCCTGGTGAGATGGCTCATTGGGTAAAGGCACTTGCCACAAAGCCTGACAATTTGAATTCAATCCTTTAGAACCACATGATGGAAGGAGAGAACCAATTTCAGCAAGTTTTATCTTCTGACCTCCATAACGACACTATGGCATGCTTGCAACACACCACACACACACCACCACCAC